CGAGAGCAAATGATCACCTTGACAGTGACACTTCTTTCTAATGAAACAAAAGGGAAATGATTATCAGCACAAAAAATCCAGACACATTATTTAAAGGTAATAGTTTAGAAATAGCTAATTTTTAAGTGGTCTCAAGATAATTGAAATCAAAAGAACTTCAGATGCTGTAAATCGGAAACAAAAACAGGAATTACTGGAAAAGCTCAGCAGTTCTGGCAGCATCCATGGAGAGAAATCAGAACATTTTGGGTCGAGCGAAGGGCTCCAAGGAAGGGTCGTGCGACCCAAAACGTCAACACTGATTTCAGTCCACAGATGCTGCCAGACCTGCTGAGCTTTACCAGCAACATATGTTTTGTTTTCAGTATAATTGTTTTGAATGTGTATAGACTCTTAATTGTGCTTGATTAAATGTCTCAGCAAATTGTAATTAGTCTAAAAAATCAGCATCTCTATTGAGAAATATGACTACAACCTACATATGCAAAAATATTTTATTCTATTTTTAAGTGAATGACATGCTATTAAAAATATAATGTAATATATTCTTGTACGTACTACTTTGAATAGTTGATGGTACTTGGATAGCCAGATACTGAACTAATTTAGTAGCTATGTTTTTATTTCAATAGTGAAACCTGCAATACGTACTAAAATGGTACGTATGAGATCATACTCTCCCTTTTAAAGTTGTCCAAATTTGAAATAGTAACAGGAGTCAAGGTAGCTTTTCATCATTGTATGAATCCAATTTGTAAGTCACCATGAGGCACAGCAAGGGACCGGCTGCTGGAACAGCTGTGTTCTGAGAGCAAGGAATTTAATTCTCCTTTTGGCCTTGCTACTAGCCTGCAGAATCTGAAAATGAAAAGTAAACTCATGCACAAAGTGGAAAGCATGCTAAGTCTCTTTATCCATGCACTGGATGCATCACCTCAACCTGCTGTAATTTTAAAACAAAACTGTAGCATTAAAGATAAGTGATTCGCTCAAGTAACCTTGCCTTGATCAAATATGCATGTCAGCATTTCATGAATAATCTATGAAGGCTAACCACCTTGCTTAGAATCTTCTCATCAAATTCCAAAAAAGGTAGAATGGAGTTCATGGACACTTGAAATAAAAGGAATGAGTAAAATTGCTGATGTTAATAGTTCAAGTCATCTCTGGAGGAGTTTCTTAACGTAGTGTCTGAGGCTCAACCATCAATCAGCTGTTTCTTCTATGACTGTCCCTCCATCATAAAGTCAGAATTGGGGATGTTCAGAATCATTCATGACCTTACTGTTGCCAGGATTGGAGGGTTTGAGCTTATAGAAGTTTTATAAAATGAGGAGCATGGATAGGGTGAATAGTGTTACGAAGCGGAGGAAGGTTGAACCCTCTGTTAATTAAACCAAAACACAAGCCCCAATCTGTAATGATGGGAGTAGAGATTCACTTCTCATAATTACCCTTGAAACACCCAGAGAAATTCACCTTGCCCCTTGTAATCTTTTACAGATTTTTCAAAGTGGTTAGAAAATGGAAAATTGCTGAACTTCACTTCATAAGCCACAAGTAATTATTTATTTATTTAATTACCCAGGATAGGGGAGACCTAAAATAGAGGCCATAGATTTAAGGTGAGGGGAAAGATTTAAAAGGGACCTAAGGGGCAACTTTTTATTTACACAGAAGGTGGTGTGTGTATCAAGTGAACTGCCAGAGGAAGTGATGGAGGCTGGTACAATTACAACATTTAAAAGGCATCCAGATGGGTATATGAATAGGAAGGGTTTAGAGAGATTAGGGCCAAATGCTGGCAAATGGGACCAGGTTAATTTATGGACGAGTTGGACTGAAGGGTCTCTTTCTGTGCTGTACACCTGCGACTCTATGACCTACTGTATCAGCCCATGTCTAAATGCAAGACTTGAACAGTATCCAGGCTTGGTCTGAAAATTGTGCCTGGCATTTGTGTGATGTAAATGACTATCTCCACTAAAAGACAACCTGCCCACCGCCCCAATGACATCACCATCACTGAATTCCCCACTGTCCACATCCTGGAGGTTACTGTTAACCAAGAACTGAACTACACTTGCTATATAAATACAATGGCCACAACAGCAGGTCAGAAGTTAGGAATACTGTAGCGAGTATCTTGTCTCTTCACTTGCTTGGATGAGTGAAGCTCCAGCAACGCTCGAGCTTGATACCACCCAGGACAAAGCAGCCTGCTTGATTTGGTATCACATCCAGAAATAATGTCACTCCACCAGCAATGCTTGGCAACAGTGTACCATCTGCAAGATGCACTTCAGAAATTCACTAAGGCTCTAAACCCATGACCACTTCCATCTGGAAGGACACAGGCAGCAAATAACATAGGAATACCAAATCAAGCCAGTTACCATCCTGACTTGGAAATATACTGCAGTTCCTTCGGCATCACTGGGAATTCCCTCCCTATGGGCATTGTGGGTCTACCTGGAGAATATAGACAGCAGCTTTTCTAGAAGGCAGCTCACTACCACCTCAAGAACAACTGGGACATGCCTAACTAGCAATGCCCATATCCCACAAGTGAATTTGAAATTAATGATTAGGCAAAGAGGGGAATTTTGGATTTTTGGAGATGAAAGTTGCCATAGCATAAGTACTGGTTGGCTGTTGCACATATATAGAACTCTGATGGATGACGGAATAAAAGTCTTTTAAATCTTGGGTTAAAAATTTGACTTAGTTACGTTTGTATGTAATGTAATTATGTGCTCACATTGCCAGTTACGATGGAATTGACTATTTTTCCTAATAAATTTACTTGCATCAATTTTTGCAATAAACAAAGCCTGTGGAAAAATGATCACTTTAATTGTATGAGTCTTAAAGGCGTACAATTCTGGCTTCCTCAAAGTCAAGTTGAGAAAGTATCTCCAAGAAGTACATTAGTTACAACTGCCATGGTGGATAACTGCTAAGATGATATTAAACAATGACTTGTATTTATACTTCACCTTTTGAATTCAACTTTAAAATAAGATTTTATTAAAATCAAGCAACATCAGGAAATATGTTTAAATGATCAAAAGCTTGGCTATTTAAGGACTAAAGAGGCAAAGAGATGTTGCAAGAGCAGTCCAGTGCTTGGGCCTTACGCAGCTGACGATAAAGCCAGCAGTTATCGAGCAATGATGAGTAAAGTCAGGCCAGAATTAGCATAGCACAGATGTTTTCTCAGGCTGGGGGAGATTACAAAGATTGGGTAGGTGAGCGCATTGAGGAATTTGAAAACATTGAGAATTTTGAAGTCCAGTTGTTACTTGACAGTTGACAGGAAGTAAGTGTAAAAGTGATAGAGGAATGGGATTTATGGCAAGACAAGGTACAGCAGAATGCCTTGAATAATTCCAAATTTACGGAATGTGGGAGAGTGGGATTACAATCGATTGATCAAGTCAAGATGCAGCAAAAATCATGAAAAGTTTCGCCGTTAGATGAGTTGAGACAGGCTAAGTCTCTGGCTACGTTACAGAATTGAAAATAATCTGTATTGGTCATGGAAAAAAAAAGTATAATTTCATCTTGGAATCAAATGTGTAACTAGGTTGCAAGCATACTGGTTTAATCTCAGACTGTTGCCAGAGCAAGGGATGAAATCAGTAGTTAGAGAACAGACTTTGGCATGCACCATAAGCAATGGCTTCAGTCTTGCCTAATGTTCAATGGAGGAAATTTGTGCTTAGCCAGTACTGGATGCCCAATAAGCAGACTAATTAATTTAACAACAATGGAGGAATCAAGTGAGGTGGACATGAGGTACAGTTGGGTCTCATCTGTGATGTATGCAAACTAAAGCTGATTTGAGGGAAAGCAGTGGTGTAGTGGCTATGTTGCTGGACATTAGTAATCATGGGGATTAGGCAGAGAAGTTGAGTAGCCAGTGATTTTAGTGGGAATAGGTTTGAGGGAACAGGAGGTGAATCTAATGGACAGAAAAAAAAAAGTGAGGACCTAAAGGGAAGCAAATAAACTAAAAGGTGTTATTTTGGGGCTGGGGTAAAGAATATATTAAATGAAACTTTAGAAGGGTGGACATGAGAAGGGATTACAACCAAAACAGCTGATCAATTGGTCGTGATCTTAGTGACAGCGCGATTCATGAGTTGCTTGCACCTGTTGAAGGTGAGGGTGGATGGACAGCGTTTTAAAAAAAGATGGTTCACAGTCAAGATCAGAAGCGAACGACTTGTTTGTTCACTATCATTTAACACACAATTATGCCTCTGGCTATAATATTTGGAGAATGGCAGCAGGTGTATACAATTTGCTTACGGTAGACCTGGTTTCCATGCTATCTCTGTTCCTGTGTTTCTACCTTCAATTGCTGTAATTTCTCCAACACCAAGTTGCTAATTTGGAGTGTGTAGAAGTGCACTAACTTCTTTAACAATCTCCTTCCCAAGGTGCGTTTACTGGTCAAGGATGATCATTTTACTAAAAATACCACCCAAATTGCTGTCTTCTGCCTATCAGTAAATCTTTTTCCAAGCATTGAGAGCCTTCAGAACTCGTTGGTTCCCACGTCATCTGGTCTGTTTTTGCTACTTCCCTATGGGCTGCTACAAGCTCTTGAATCTACTTCAGCATTGCCATCCATTTGCATTTGTCCAGCTCCTGTTAGAATTGCGGTGGAATTGTTCTACTATGTAAATGAACTGATTTAGAAAATTTCTAAGTTCAGTAGTGACATTTGACGGGGTTTAGTGCAGGGCCAAGATGCACCAATGGGTGGAAAATACAAACTGTGACATAGAACTATGTACTGTTTGACTAATACCCTTCAGTGACGGGCTGGATATGGTACTTGAATATTTTTGGTATATATTTTAAACCTATACTTCAGAAAATCACCTTCGATCTTTGCTTTATCCACCAAGCTGTCAGTCTTCCAAAAACAGTTTGTTGTTAATTGTAGTGGCAAATACAGTTGGTGACACTATATTTACCTCACTTAGGTGCATGTGAAGGAACCTTGGCATGCTCTACCTGTCATCTAATCTTTGAAGAGCCCATCTACAAGAAATTGGATGACATCACTGATGAAGAAATGGATATGTTGGACCTAGCCTATGGCCTCACAGAAACGTAAGACTTTCAGTTTATTTTACACTTATTACAGATCTTGATGTTAGTATGTTTGAATCTAATGATTGATGCAACAATTTTGTTTACTGCCTCCAACATGCAAGTCCCCAGGTGGTTAACAAGTTAGCATTAGGAAAACTAATGTTGAATCAGGTGGGGAGAGGTTGGAAAAGAAAATGGAAATTTATTGAAAGGTACTGTAAAGGAGAGGGGCGGGCACTAGTGCTGAGAAGATGTGTACAGAAAGCAAAAGTCTGAAGATTACAACCTTGACAAGGGAAAATATGTTGGAGGTAATTGTAGTTTCCTGTGGTGTATGATACATGGAGTATTTGTAAGTGAGGATGAAGTGTTTAAATTTAATTGGGCAATGGAACTACTGTTGATGAAGTAATTTGGGTGACTAAAGCTTTTGGAGCCACGTGCTTTCATACAGCAGTCACAACAGTTCTCAAACCTCAACTGAAAATGTTTAAGCACAGGACTGTAACATTTTGGGATGTATCTGGTATTCAGGGAATCCTGTTACAACAACATAGATTCTTTCATTTCTTTATGTGTGGAGAAGATATGGAATTGTTCTATTCCATGTTTAGTTCTTAAAACTATGGGATACGACACACAGATGCTGGTATATATTGACCATGAGTAGTTTCATTGGGCAGTTGAAGGTGGGCTTTCCCCATTAACTGCTGCAGTCCTTGTGCTGATGGTGCTCTCACAATAGAATTGGGTTGAGAATTCCTCATTGAGCTGCTGCATTCTGTCCAATAGAATGTTCATGTTGCAGCCACCTTGTGCCAGTGAAGAAGACGATGATTACAGGCTGCATGGTGACTCTGTTGTTAGTACTGCTGTCTCGCAGCATGAGGGACCCAGGCTCAATTCCACCCTCTGATGACTTTGTGGAGTTTGCATGTTCTGTCTGGGTTTCTTGGTGCTCCAGTTTCCTCTGATAGTCCATGGATGTGCAGGGTAGGTGGATTACCCATGGGAAATACAGGGTTACAAAGATAGGTTAGGAGGATGATTCTGGATGGGATGCTCTTCAGAGGGTAGGTGTGGACGGATGGGCTGAATGGCCTTTTTGTTTTTTAAAAAAAAAACTCATTTGTGGGATGTGTGCATCACTGGCTGGCCAGCATTTATTGCCTGTCTCTAGTTGCCCTTGAGAAAGTTGTGGTGAGCTGCCGCCTTGAACCGCTGCAATCCACCTGCTGTGGATTGACCCACAATGCCATTAGAGAGGGAATTCCAGGATATTGACCCAGTGACAATGAGAATTGAGAGGTATGGCCACGGGTTAAAAATGATAGTGCTCTCTCTCTCGCGTGCTCTCCTTGGGACAGGTTAGGGTTCACTGTAAAGTGGTTCCTGGGTCACAGCTAACTGGAAGAAGATAGGTCTTTATTTTAGGGGTAGCCAGAGGAAGTGGGGGATGTGGGTACAATCACAACATTTTAAAAGGCATCTGGATGGGTAAATGAATAGGAAGGGTTTAGAAGGATCTGGGCCCAATGCTGGCAAATGGGACTAGGTCAGATTGGGACATCTGGTCAGAGCGGCCGAGTTGGACTGAAGGGCCTGTTTCTATGCTGTATGACTGAGTGCTAATTTTTAGTCATCTTGCAGGAAAGGAAACAGGCAGCTGGATGGCTCTGTGCTGTTAAAACAATCTCAGAAGTTCGAAGAATTGGTAGACAGTTGAGGGTTTGAGTCAACCTGAAATAAATGTGAGGAGCTCTCAAACCTCCAAAGTGAAACTATATATTTTATTTAAAGGTACAGTTTGTAACGTATTTGAATATTTAACTAGATGTCAATGTGAGGGGTGGGGAAGAGGAGAGAGTGAAAGTATGGCATAAAGCTAGACAATAGCATTATCACTCTTATTTTTTCTGTTTCTAAACTAATGAGGTGCCTTAGTTTGTTCTGTAAGTCTGTAAAATTATTTTTATTGCATTTGCATCACTTCATTAGTTATTTTTAATAGTTTCAGTTAGTATTTTTCCTAAAAGATTGAAGACTTATTCTTGGGACTAAAAATACTCCAGGATTTGGTTAGGATAACAATTACATAGTTATACAGCATAGAAACAGACCCTTTGCTCCAACTCGTTCATGCCAACTAGGTTTCCCCATCTAAACTAGTCCTTGTTGTCTGCATTTGGCTCATATCCCTCTAAACCTCCTCCTATCCATGTACCTCTCCAAATGTCTTTTAAATGTTGTAACTGTACCTGCATCTACCACTTCTCTGGCAATTCATTCCATATGTGCACCACCCTCTGTATGGGAAAAGTTGTTCCTCCAGTCCTTTTTAAAATCTTTCCCCTTTCACCTGTACACCTATGCCCTCTAATTTTGAACTCCCCTACATGTAGCAAGTATTTGAATATGAAATTATCTATTTAGGTTGAATGAATTATGGTTGCCTCACGAACTACCATTCTTATCCATTTTGTTTGACTGTTGCAAATTCTGTTTTCATAACCTACATGGAGAAATACATGAATGGAATAGAAAATGAAATCTCTTTTTATTGAGCATAATTCGTTGGCCGCTTTGTTAATTGTGTCCAGTCAGTCTGTGTTGTGGCGACATTTATCATAGCTGATTGGAATCGACCTGTACTTGATAATTCTAATAACTTTAAAGCTAAGTCTTGTGATGTTCTGAATCAAAGTGTTTTTGTCCAAGTACTCAGCATATTTTACTACACAACTGGTAACAGTTTAGAGACAAAGTGCAGACTTTTCCTTATTTGCTGGAACATAGAATTTTTTTTACAATAAAGGCAGTCATTTTATGTATCATTAGAATTATAATGCCAATATTGATACTGAAGAATCAGCTCCTTGGAATATTTCCCAAAATAATACTTTGCAGTAAGCTTATCTAATGATTCTTGTGTTTTTAAAATATCATTCAATTTGATTTTCAGATCTCGTTTGGGTTGCCAGATCTGCCTAAAGAAATGGATGGATGGAATGACTGTGGAAGTGCCAACTGATGTCGCTGATGCTAGAGAAGCCAAGGACATTGATTCAGGCTCCTAAAGGGATTAATTTAATTTACAAAATCAACATGACTAAAAGTTAACTTCTCTTAAATAATAAATAATACTTTATTATACAGAATAAAATCTTCAGTATAGGTGGGTCACTTAATATTGAATGTCTACGTTATCTTTTTAATTTCTTGGTGGCCAATATTGTAATGCTGTACAGATTCAGAGAAGTACATTTTACAAACTGCTTAACAGAACAACTACTGTACAGGATATGAAAAATCTAAAGAAAACAATTTAACTTTTTGAAGAAGTTTGTAAATGCTGACCAAATCCAGCAAAATCTTTTTGAGTGCTGGAATTCCAAGAGTTCCAGTTCAAAATTTTGGGAATTCAGTCCAGTTTTGTCTAGCTCTGGATGGGCGTATGAATTCAAATCTGATTCCATTAATGCTAACCATGTATGTTATGTTGCAGTTACGTTGATCATCCTTGAGAGTATTTTAGTTAATAAACTCTGAGTATATTTAGAAACATGCTAATAGATTAATTTCTTACTGAAATTCTTTGAAAATGTTGCAGCAGTGATGATATTTATAATTTTTTGTTGGCCTTTTCATTAGGCATTTTAATGCAGCATTAATATCAATTTTCCACGTCATATTTTGAGTAATTTTGAAGCATAGAGTGCCTTAAATGCCTTTCTCTACAATTTTTTTTAGGTTTCACTTTCTTAAACTGCTACTGGTAAAATGAGAGTATGGCGCTGGGGCAGGGTGGTGAAGAGGGGAACTTGACTTAAGCGCAATGCTGTGATCATAATTTTGGCAAGATATCTTTAGTTTTGAGTTTGGAGTTGGAAGTTTCAAATACCACTTGTTACGATATTCATGTTGACCATTTAATTCCATCAGTGATATATAGTCCAATAGAACATGTCGCCTTCACGAGGTGAAGACTAGATGATGACGTTAGTTTTTTCCATGTGAAAATTCAGCCTTTTCAAATAGCAATACTGCTGAAATATTACCTGATCTGTACACCAATATATCCATTCTTTCCTCCAACAATTTCCTTGCCTGTTTTTCGTTAATCAAAAGCCCTTTTAAAATATTTAAACATCTTGCAATTCAAGACGAATGTTTTTAACTGTAGGTGAATGGGTTGGGTCCTTAAAACAAATAAGCAATTTTATGGGGTAGATATTAGTGAGGGAGTTCAAAACTAGAGGATGTAAAGATTTCATTAATAAATCTAATGAAGAATATACGAGTAACATATTCCACAGATGATGGTTATAATGTGACACTCTCTCTACTTGAGGTAAATAGCATTGATGCATTAAAGAGGACCAACAGCTTGGCCAACTTGTACTGATATGGTGCTTTTAACATAAACAATCCCAAATTACTTCTCAGGAACTTTGTTAAACAAAATTTGACCCAAGGACATGCAGGTGATAATTGGCCATCCAGTCAAAATCTTGGCCTAGTTGTCTAGGGAGCATCTTAAGAGGAGAATGTTTAGGGAGGGAGTTCTAACATTTAGGCTTTGGCACAACTGCTAATGATAGAACAATTAAAGTTGAGGAAGCTGTAAAAGCTAGATTTTGAAGGAGCTTGGAAGGTTGTGGGGCTGGAAGAGATTATAAAGATGGGGCTATGCAGAGATTTGACAGCATGGATGAGAATTTTACATTTGTGGTGTTGCTTATCTGGGAGTTGGGGAACCAAAGGAAGTTAGTGAATGCAATGTGTACAGATTTTGGGGCAAGTTGTGTAAAGGAGAGCTAAATTTTGGATGACCTTGCATTTATGGAAGGTAGAAAATAGGAGGCTGGCTTTAATGTGTTGGAATAGTCGTCTAGACTGACATGAATGCGTTTTACAGCAGAAAATGAATGGTTAATATGAGAGGTATAAAGGAACAGAGGATATAGGGTTTGATTAGGTTGCAGAATAGAAATATGTACATACACTAGATGAGCTGAATGATTTTTGTGCTGCAAACTATGAAATTGTACAAAAGCAAGTTGCAATTCTTTTCTTGCAAGGAATATTACAGCTATGCAACTGTTATGCAGAGATGTTTTGTTTCCTTTATTCATCCACGAGATGAGGGTGTTGCTGGCTAGGCAGCATTTATTGCCCAGAGGGCAGTTAAGAGTCAGCCACATTGCTGTGGGTCTGGAGTCAATGTAGGCCAGACCCAGGTAAGGATGGCAGTTTCCTTCCCTAAAGGGTATTAGTGAACCAGATGGGTTTTTCCTGACAATGAGCATTAGGTTCTTAATTCCAGATATTTATTGAATTCAAATTCCACCGTCTGCCATGGCAGGATTTGAACTCTGGTCCCCAGATGCTGTCTGGTCTTTGAAAAAGCAGTCAGTGATAATACCACTAGGCCATCGCCTCCCCTGTTACTATGTACTTTAAAATCCTGCTTCTTCCTTGCTCCTTTTCTCTCCATTGGCTATGTGGGTGTGATAATTTAAGAACTACTCCAACATTTGCTTGGACTTACAATTCTGATTGTAAATTGTGACTACTGACAACTCATACAAAATATTTCTTAAAAGTCATGTCGAGCAAAAATGCTAATTAATATAGCTTAAAATAATTGCTAACTGAAGATACATCATAAGTTGTCTTTAACTGCTCATGTATTTAATTCATTTGATTTAATTACGTTTTGTTGGATTCTGGGTTTGCTCTTTTTTTCTTAAAGAAAGTTGTAAAATGCTGGAAGAAAGTATTTACAGTTTCAAATGAAAAAGACTTACTGAAACTTGTTTGGATTTCTTTCTTTGAAGCAATTTCCTACATGTTTGTCCACTTCCTGCTGTTTGTTGATCATTTGCATGAGTCCCATAATTAAACTTTATTGATAGTTTCTCATTGTCACTCAATATCTTAAAAATAAACATTTTAATAGAATTAGTAACACTGCACTAAAGGAGGGCGTTCAGCCCATCATGTCTGTACTGCTGTCTGGGGGAGGTTGGTAATTTAATCCCAGGTTTTTGTTATGATAGAAGCTCTGGTTTCAAAGTGTTTTATTTTTAAGATGATAAGGGAAGTGTTAGCAGGTAATTCATTGTTCAGTTTCTGTTGGTTTTGGGGTTTGGCATATCGTTGATTAACTAAATAGTATTTACTATTTGCTTTGACCATTGTATATTAAAACTTCTTGTATTTTAAACCCTAGAATCTTGTGGCTTAATTCTTTCAGAAAATACCTAAGATTCCAAATCGTAACACTTTTTTTTTCCCCCTTCAATTCTCTTTTGAACATTGCTTTTGAATCTACTTACACCACCCTTTCAGACGGTGTTCCAGATAGCAACAATTTTGCTGTGTAAGCAAATGTTTCCTGTCGTTGACTGGTCACTTTACCAATCTCCTTAAACATATTGGTAAACATTATGTCACTGGAAGTAGTTTTTTAAAAAATGGTATTGAATCCTATGATACCTACCTCCCTTCTGCAGGCCCTTGTCACTTCCTTTGCCATTGGCTCAGTTTAAAATCATCATTGCAAGTTCATATAAACATTAACCACGTTAATCCATGTGAATCTTTTACTTCATGTAAAAGTACATTTGATTACAAGTATTGATAGCTGTTGAACTGGTGGATATAACAAGTGCAATTCTTAAGTAATTTCTTTCATTCAGTATGAGTCATTAGGAATGAAACAGAATGAATAATTGAACCTGCATTTTCTTAGTCATTGAAAACTCTGAAAGTAAGTGCAGAAGCAGACCATATGACTCATGAAACCTGCTGCTCTGCCATTTGGTATGACATCTGTTGAACTTGAGCCTCAAATCCACCTTCCTGTCAGTTCTCCATATCCCCCAAGACCGAAATCTGCCCATCCCTGCATTAAATGTACCAGGTGATGGAGAATCCACAGTACTTTGCTTTTACGTGACCCTTCAGAATTTTATGTCTCTCTTAGGGTCTCCTGCTTTTGAACTCTAAAGAATATAGGATTAACTTACTCATCCTGTCATCCTAGTATAACTCGCGTGCTAGTTCCAGAGACTAATTAAGTCACTCTTTGCTGCGCCATTTCTAACATAAGTATTTCTTTCCAGAAATGTGGAGACCAGAACTGCATACAGTACTCCAGATATCGCAAAATGTTATGCAATATTAGCCAGAGTTCCTCTTGTATTCCAATTCCTTTCCAAAAATGACCAACATGCTTTGTGCCTTCTTTAATTGTTTGCTGCACCAGCATTCTGCCATTTCTCTGTTCCTTGTACAAACATACCTAAGTTTCTTTGAACATTAAGACTTTAGAGTTGCACACTTTATTTAAGAAAATACTTCTCTGTTCTTAAGACAATAGGAATTCCCTACAATTATAGATGGAGCGGATTTTGTCCAGTGTGTTCAGGAAGGATTCCTGACACAGTATGTAGATAGACCAACACGAGGGTTTGGTGCTTGGCAATGAACCGGGCCAAGTGTTAGACCTGTTGGTAGGGGAGCATTTTGGTGGTAGCGATCATAACTCTGTTACTTTTACAAAAGTCATGGAAAAGGATAGGTACATACAGCAGGGTAAGGTTTATAATTGGGGGAACGGTAATTACAATTCTGTTAGGCAAGAACTGGGTAACATAAAATGGGAACAGATGCTGTCAGGGAAGAGCACTATTGAAATGTGGAGATTGTGTTTTAAGGAATGCATACTACGTGTGTTTGATATGTTCGTCCCTAGCAGGCAGGGAAGATGCGGTCGAGTGAGGGAGCCTTGGTTCTTGAGAGGTTGAACGATTGGTTTAAGAGCAAGAAGGATGCTTATATAAGGTTTAGGAAACAAGGAACGGAAAAGGCTCTAGAGGGATACAAGTTAGCCAGGAAAGAGTTGAAGAAAGGGCTTAGGAGAGCTATAAGGGAAAACTTTGGCAGATAGGATCAAGGAAAACTCCAAGGCTTTTTACATGTACATGAGGAATAAGAGAATGACCAGAGAAAGGGTAGGGCCGATCAGGGATTGTAAAGGGAATTTGTGCACGGAGCTTAGAGATAGGAGAGGTCCTTAATGAATACTTTTCTTCGGTATTCACAGCTGAGAGGGACCTAGTTGTAGACGAGGACAGTGTGAAACAGGCTGGTAGGCTAGAGGAGGTCCATGTTAGTAAGGAAGGTGTACTAGGAATTTTGAGGAACTTGAAGAAAGACAAGTCCCCCGGGCCTGATGGGATTTATCCAAGGATTCTATGGGAAGCAAGGGAAGAGATTGCAGGGCCTTTGGCATTGATCTTTTCATCCTCACTGTCTACTGGTATAGTGCCAGAAGGTTGGAGAGAGGCAAACGTCATTCCCTTGCCCAAAAAAAGGAATAGGGATAACCCCGGAAATTACAGGCCAGTTAGTCTTGCGTCAGTGGTGGGCAAATTATTGGAAAGGGCTCTGATAGGATTTATAATCACTTGGATAGGCACAGTTTGATTTGTCAGCATGGATTTGTGAGGGGTAGATCATGCCTCTCAAACCTTACTGAATTTTTTGCAGAGGTGACCAAACACGTGGATGAAGGTAGAGCGGTGGATGTGGTATACATGGATTTAAGTAAGGCTTTTGATAAGGTTCCCCATGGTAGGCTCATGCAGAAGGTAAGGAGGTGTGGGATAGGGGAAAATGTGGCAGATTGGATTCAGAATTGGCTGACTCTTAGACGAAGGGTGGCAGTGGACGGAAAATATTCAACATGGTGCTCAGTTACGAGTGGTGTACCGCAAGGATCTGTTCTGGGTTCTCTTCTATTTGTGATTTTTGTAAATGATTTGGATGTAGGAGTGGAAGGGTGGATTAGTAAGTTCGCGGACGATACAAAGGTGGGTCGAGTTATGGATATTGCGGAGGGCTGTTCTAGGTTACAAAGGGACATTGATAGGATGCAGAGCTGGGCTGAGAAGTGGCAGATGGAGTTTAACCCTGAGAAGTGTGAGGTGATTCATTTTGGAAGGACAAATTTGAAAGCAGAATACAGGGTTAATGGAAAGATTCTTGGCAGTGTGGAGGAGCAGAGGGATCTCGGGGTTCATGTTCACAGTTCCCTGAAAGCTGCCACCCAGGTGGATAGAGTTGTTAAGAAAGCGTATGGTGTGTTAGCTTTCATTAATAGAGGGATTGAGTTCAAGAGCCGTGAAGTTGTGCTCCAGCTATACAAAAGCCTGGTTTGGCCACATCTGGAGTATTGTGTCCAGTTCTGGTCACCTCATTACAGGAAAGATGTGGCAGCGTTAGAAAAGGTGCAGAGGAGATTTACCAGGATGTTGCCTGGAATGGAGGGAAGGTCTTACGAGGAAAGGTTGAGAGAGCTAGGGCTTTTCTCTTTAGAACGACGAAGGATGAGAGGTGACTTGATAGAGGTGTACAAAATGATCAGAGGTATAGGTAGAGTGGACAGCCAGAGACTTTTTCCTAGGGTGGAGGTAGCTTTTATGAGGGGACATACCTTTAAAGTGAAAGGAGGTAGATATCGGGGAGACGTCAGAGGTAGGTTCTTTACTCAGAGTGGTAGGGGCATGGAATGCGTTGCCGGAGAGGGTAGTGGAGTCAGCCTCGTTAGGGGCATTTAAGCGGCTATTAGATAGGCATATGGATGATAGTATAAGGTAGGGGTGGAGGTTAGATAGACCTTTAGGTTTAGGGTAAAAGTTCAGCACAACATCGTGGGCTGAAGGGCCTTTTCTGTGCTGTTCTGTTCTGTACTCAATCTGCCACCTTGTTCTCTCATTTAATGTCTCTATACGTCTTTGCAGCTTCTGTCCTCCCCACAGTTTATCTTTCCACCTGACTGAGTCAATAGCAAGCCTCGACACATTATTCTGTCTCTTCATTCAAGTTTTCATATAGATTATAGAAAGCTGAGGTCTCACTGCTGATCCTTGCAACACTCCACAATTCACTCTGCCACCATGAAACTGCCCCATTTATGCCCACACTTTGCCTCCTGCGCAGTAACTCATTACCTCCAACTCCATGTCCCTATCCTGCCTATTAACCTTCTGTATGGCATGTTATTGAATGCCTTTTGGAAATTTGGGTACACTGATGGCACACTGGCCTAGTGGTTAGCACAGCTGCTTCGCGGCACCAGAGACCTAGTTTTGATTCCATCCATGGGCCACTGTCTGTGTGGTGTTTGTACAATCTACTCATGCCTGAGTGGGTTTCCTCTAGCTGCTCTAGTTTCATCTTGCATCCAATGACTTTCTTCAAGCTACAGGTGTTTACGCTAGCCAAAAAAAAACTACCAATCTCTGGATCCTTATGTCTGAAACTTAATGCTTAACTGTACTCTGGTTCCTGGTAAACGCATCTGATGAAAATGAAGCCTTATTACTTTCCAGGATGTCTTTCTCTTTGTATATTCAAAGAAATTGCCATAGCAACTTAAATATTAAAGGATTAATCATTTAATTTCATAGGCCAAAGCGTGTCACTAGTTCAAAATTTAAATTCTAAAATAAATGATATTTATATACATTTTTTTTAAAACTCTCACCTTGCATCACTACATCACATGGTAGGTTTTATTTAAAGCACAATTTCATCGGTAGCTAGGTGCTGGGTATTTGTCTTTCATTGCAATGTCAAATGTTAAGTGTCCTAAACTAAAACTGGATTTGCGAGTGTCATCACTTGGATGCTGCTATCTGTGGCAGTGCTATAGCGTAAAATGACCGTAAGAGTCCTCTTCCTCTTTCTTCCAACCTCCCCCCAATTCACCACCCAAAAATAGGGACATGGAATAAATGAAGTTTTGCAGCATAGATTGCTGTTCCTATCACGGAGGTTTGATGTGAAAGAGCTCCCCAATTCTGTAGATGATGAAAATAATTTCATTACATTCAGCTGCCAATTTGTGGTTTCAAGCTGCTGATTGCTAATAGCTAATATCTTGTCACTGCAAATGCAGAGATGTTTTGCCTTGCAATGAGGATGATGTATATTAGTACAACCATAGCGTAAATGTGGGAAGAAAAATGAAAGCTTATTAATGAAATCCTTGGAAGTTTAGCAGGAGGAGGACAATGGGTTTTATCTGTATAGTGACTCACATAAAGCTTTCATGAGGATTATATTGTCATCTGTATGCAGCTAACACAGTCACTTTGTCCTGTAAATAATACATCCCTTTTACTTATGTTGGAACCATCTTGTCTTTTATTCAGTAACCA